ATTAAAAGCCCAGATAGATGGGTGGGAGAGTGAACAGGGTCGGGAGTTTCTGGTAAACGGACAGAAGTTTCTGAAGTATGTGGAGGAACAGTGGGAACTGCACCGACTAGAGAAAGAAAAGGAGAAAGAAGAAAGGGTAAACATGTTATTTTGTATCAAAGATTTAGTCCGTATGTTGCCTTAGAAATGTGTTGACACTTCTTTACATACTCTAAACAGCATTTGAAGAGGACCAAACAGACTGAGGAGGATATGCTGTATGGAACAGCTGTGCGAACACCGACCAAACACAGATTCCTGGGCACCACCACACCAAATAATAAATCACGAAAGGTTGTGACCTCTATTTGTTGTTTTTCCTGTTTGAGCCGATACACATTCATTCTATTCAGTGATGTGACACACTCCCTGTCTCTCTCAGCAGTTTAATGCCACTTCCAGTATTTCTAGTGCCACCTCCAACAGCACCATGCGCTCCGTCTATGGTGGAACTGTCTGTCGCTCCCCTGTGCCCCGCCCACCTCTCTCTGCAAACAAGGTGGGTTTCACATTAAAGAGAAAACAAGTCAAATCAGAGCTGCTAAAAGCAGCAATGGGCTGTGGCTGGGCATGTCCTTCTCCCTCAAGCGTCCTCAAGCGTCCTTGGGCCCCTTGAAAGGTGCTATAAAAATGTTTTTGAGGATGAATGTGTTGCTACTCCACCCAGCATTTTGCTTGAGCAAACATGAGCAGCTATTGTACATCACCCAGGGCTAGAATTCACAACCTCAGGTCTGATGACTGCGCTGCTCTGAAGTTAAATTGAACTCATTAGGAGAAGTATCTGTGGTGATCATTGTTGATCTTGTGACGTAACTTCAAACACATCAACATTTAAATAAGCTACACAAATCCTTTAATATCTTTGATTTATTATCTGGGCAGCAGCATAATTTGCCAAATATATTGACATGCAGATTGTGAATGTATGGCACATGGAACAACAATTTGTCGCAGTTCAAGCCGTCTTTTGCGATACGTATATCACATGTCATATCGCGATGCAGATACATTTTCGATATGTCGTGCAGCCCTACAGAAAAAAGCACAAACACTATTTTCAGGACATTTTTCATTGTTAATGTCTGAAAACAACTGAAGACAACTAGTCTTGTGCTGAACTCTAAAAAGACTTTACTGCATTGTGTAGTTTAGGAGGTCTGACTTGTCTCACCTGTTTTTCACTGCTTTGTGTTTTCTAGTGTCCAGCGGCACGAACACCAGGAGGCGGTAAACCCCCCCAACCCAGACTGCAGGGCTGTAACAAAGAAAACGAGGCTCAGTTGAAGGGAATCCCTCTGAGTGGTGCGTTGCTGACCCCCGCTAGTCCACAGCGTAACTTCAGCATAGCTTCTGTTGCCAGCACATATTCAGAGTTTGTGGTAATTTAAACTTTTGTCTCTAATTTCTTTTCTCTGCTTCTATTTAATTCTGTGCCAGAACACATTGAAGTCTATGATTGAAGTTTCTGGTGATGTTCAAATTGCTAATGATATAAATTTATGTTTTAGAGGGACTTGGTCAACAGTGAATCTGTTCAGTCAAGGTGTGTTTGGAGTTTTAAAACCTCGTGTGATGCTCACTCATCTCTTTTATCTTAACTGCATGTCTCTAATCAGAGGACAGATTTCCTTTTATGAATAACATTATGTTTTGACTTAGATAGGAACAGTTACATGACTACTGACACTCCCACATTTCTTTAGTGTTTGTGTGTGCTTCAGTTCATTCATTAGAGATGACTACACACAAACTGCAAGTCCAAAGTGTTGACCCTGACAAATTATATTTGAGGGGACGGGGTACTAGGCCCGGGGCAGACACCCAGGGAGCCATGTGCAGCTCCACTTAGTTTGTGCTGTGCACTGTCGACCGAGCCAAACCGCGGGTGCCCCACCATCTCCTCCGGCTCTCCATACATACTGTATGTAACATTCAGTTGTTTTTACCCAGGCTGAGTTTACTCACATGTCCGATGCGATGGTCTGTACACACCTGGTATTAAAATGTGTTTTCTGTGATCTCAAGTGGACAGACCCCATTCAGAGGTGGTCTGAGCCACATGTGTCCACATTCTTTTAAGCAGTGTGAACACAGATCCGTCCTGGGCCACATATGAAGGACATCGTCCTCAGCTGACGTCTCTGAGCTGCTGCAGTTTCACTAAGAATCGAACATGTTTTTTCTCTTCTTGTTGATTTGATCAGCACATCGACACTGATCAGCACATTATGATCCATACTTTCCTTAAATTGGTCAAATCTTTCTTCACAGCTGCCCAAGATTCATTCAGACTCTCCTGACTCGTCTCTCCCTCTCTTTCTCTGGCTCGTGTCACACACACACACATGCACCCACCCACACAGTGACATCGGACACATCCGTAAACTCCGACTTGGTCAAAACAACATTGTTGGTCTCAAGTAACACAAATGATGTACGTATTCATTTGCATGTAGTGTTAGAGTTGAGCAAGGGAAATGAGATCCGATCACAGGTGAGCACAGGTGTGAGCACGCTTACTTAACGCTGGCCACTCATGATCGAATCTCTCTGGACGGATGTTAATGTGGATAGTTGAGCACACATAGAAAGTAGTATTTCATGACATACACAAACTGAAATGGAAATAATATGGAGTATGTACGGTTATGGTATCGATCTCTCAAATTCTGAGCCTCCATTTGTTCCCAAAGTTCAAGAATCATACAAAATTTTTGAAGAAAGGAGGTAAAGAGACAAAGTGACTATCAACTGAATGAATTAAGGCCTGATGGAAACATGAGTTCAGTGTCTGTAGTTTAATTCTAAGTTTAAGACCTGGTAGTGAGACACTGTAATGATCCTCACTGACACTAGTCCTTTATGTCTCAGTGAGACACTGTAACTAGTCTTTATGTCTCAGTGAGACACTGTAACTAGTCTTTTATGTCTCAGTGAGACACTGTAACTAGTCTTTATGTCTCAGTGAGACACTGTTTGAATTATGTTTGGCTTTACATTTTAGAATTGAAGTAGGTCAATCTATATTTCCATTATCAGCAACTTAATCCACTAATTTTTAACACGTTTGTCTGTTAAATTTATAAAAGACGTGAAAATAATAACTAATAAACAGTTCATCTTCACTTTGACAAACTAAGAGATTGTGTCTTCTCACTAATTCCACAGCGAGACCTGTCCAAGGCCTCTGACGCCAAGATCCAGCACAACATCCTGAACTCCACCAGCAGCAACCTCTGACCCCTCCACTCTGATGTGACTGCGTCATTCAAATACAGTACAATGAAGTTTTGTTAAAGATTGATCACTACCTTTCACTGCTATCAGCTATTTTATATGTAAATGAAGGTAATAATATATTTAGTGTTGAGTCAGTGATAGACAAGGTGTCACTGTCTGTAAGAGGGCTAATGTTTGTATGATAACTTAAACTAACACTCATTTATTTCAGTTTTTTTTCTATTTTCAGATGTAAAATCTGTCGTCTGCACATTTTTTAAAACATTAAAGAAAGTTAAGCTTTCTGAGCTTATGCATCTGGGGTCACAGGCCAAATGTATTGAGTACATTGCACTTTCTAAAAACATATATTGCAGTGCATCAAGTCAATTTTTTCTACATGTATGTATCTGTATATATTTATATCAGTTCCTGTTGTAATAAATGTTTGTCAAAGATGGATTCTGTCATTTAAGGTTGTTCTTATCACATTGACATATGATCAAGTTCATGTTTCTGATCAGTTTAAGTTGCTTTACCAACTACCTAAGAACTCAAAGAAACACTTGTTCTATTGACCAGTGAGGATCAAATCTTCATCCTCACGTGTTTTTCATTAATCTAGTTCAACAGAATTTACAGTGTGTAAGTAAAGTAAAGTGTGACTTTCTGGTTTTTTAAAAACTGAAATAAGGTTAAATCGACTATTTGAAAGGAAGAAGTTCTATGAAAAATCCATGATACTGTCTTTAAGAGGTGGCAAATTATTTTTGATTGAGTTGTAAGAGAAATATAGAAAATAAAACTTGTGTAGAACAACTTGTGATTCCCCTGAGTCATTGACTTACTCACTGGACTGTGATCAGCCTTGTATGCAAACTAAAGCACAGACAGTTTCATCAAATCCAATCAGATAGTTTAATGTAGCATTTCACAATTTTCACATCATCGTATACATCCCCTCCAGAAAAATGAATGTGTCTGAACTGTTTTTAGAGTGAAAGAAGTGAACAAACACATTTCTCCCTTATCTTCCTTTTGTCTGATCAGAGAATAAGATGAAGTGTTAAAAG